AAAAAAAAAAAAAATTGTATATTAACATTTTAACTGTGATTATTTCTGGGTGGTAGGATGGGGGGAATCTTTTTTTTGAGACAGTCTCGCTTTGTTGCCCTCGGTAGAGTACTCTGGCGTCATAGCTCACAGCAACCTGAAATTATTGGGCTCACGCGATTCTCTTGCCTCAGCCTCCCGAGTAGCTGGGACTACAGGCGCCTGCCACAACGCCTGGCTATTTTTAGAGACGCGGTCTTGCTCTTGCTCAGGCAGGTCTCGAACCCCTGAGCTCAGGCAATCCACCCACCTTGGCCTCCCACAGTACTAGGATTCCAGGCGGGCGCCCATCCTCTCGGTTAGTGATTAACCTTTTAAAAATCACAACCCCTCCCACCGAGAATCTTTAGAAAGATAAATATCCTCTCTAGGAAAATACACAAATTCACATTTGCAGATTTACATTCATTTTTCCATGGATTCCGAGTTTTAAGGGCAATCGTTCTACACGCCCAGTTTAGTGGGTGGTCAGGCACTGTGCTACGTACTTTAAATGGGTCAGCTCATAGAAAGGGCACCCGTGTTAAATAAGAGCTATTTTATAGCCTTTCTGAGTTCTCTCCTTAAGGTAAAAAAAAAGTTGTTATCCCAATTTTTAAATAAGGATTGTGAGGATCAGATATTCAATGCCTGTCAAATCCAGCCACTCACCCAAAAGTGTGACTCTGTAAACTTCTTCCATGTCAACCTTCCAGCCTGCCGCCACACTCAAGGTGAGGGGGTGAGGGAGAGCTCAGAGATGGTATAGTCTCTCTAACTCCCTCAAGTTACAGCCAAAGAATGCATGATCCTCAAAGGGGAAAAAAACCAGCACGAATCTTTGTCCCCACCTACCTACCCTAGCTGTGCTCGCGAGTAGCACCCGGCAAAAGCAGAGCAGAAGTTACCAAGAACTGTCTGAATGGAATTGAGTAGAGAAAGAGAACAGGAACCACTGGACTCCCACCCTAGAAAGGGTCATACGGAGAAAGTTTAGGGCCAGTTCCAAGCCGAGACAGTTTGCTGGGGATAAAAAAAAAGCAGCAGCAGTAGGGGAGCTCTCCCTTGGGCTTAAATGTTCCCACAAAGATTCCCCCCCAAATTCCCCAAGCACGCCCAGACAAGCAAACACAGAAAAGCAAAGGGAAGGGGTACCTGATGCAGGAATACGGCTCTTCCCTGCAGTCAACGTTGCACATGAAGCGTTCCCAGTGCAGCCAGCCCATGGTAGGTGTCATTGCCAAGCCATTGTCCAGTGCCCTAGCCCTAGGGTTGCCCCAGAGAACCAGGGCCAGGAAGCGAAGCGCAAGTGCATAGCCCAGCGACTGACTTCTGCTGCTCAGCTGTATCATCTCCGAGTCATACACCACGGATTTCCGCGGGTAACCTGGGCTTTTAAGTTTAACCTTAGGGGCGGACCAATCACCGATGAGTTATTAAGTAATGACGTTACTGTTTCTCAGGCAACTGGGACGGTTATCCCCAGAGGCGGACCAATGATCAGTTACGTAAGACGTATCACCAACCAATCATACTCTTTCTTTTTTGATGTTAGCCCGCCTTTTTTCCATACCAGAAGGAAGTGCGGCAACTCAGTGAGCCAGAGTTTAAGCCGAGCGTTACTCACGTGATTTAGATCTCACCTGACGTAGGCGCTCACGTGATCAATCGCTTACGTGAGCAGAAGTAGTTCTGGTCGTCGTCTACCGTCTCGCTACAGCCGTTTGAGGGAAGGAGGAGGAAAATTATCCGGTATCGATAGAGGTTGGTGTGTGGGTGGGAACTGGGGACCTGGGGGTGGTGGTGATGGAGACTAAAGCGGGGTTCGGGGGCCGCCTCCGCCTTTTTCGTTCTCTGCTTTCCCCTCCCCCCGCTCTCCCTCCCTCCTCCCCCCCATCTCAGTGCCGGGAAGCCGCCTTTACTGCGCCTGGTGGGGAAATGGTGGACGTTCGTGACTGTGTGTGTGTGTGTTTGTATCTGTCTATCAGGGCCGATCTCGGGAGGCCCCTAAGAGTAACCGTAAGGTGAAAAACGTTTGAAAACCACGGCCCTGAGTTAGGAAAAACAGATATTGAGACCAGCGGTACCATTGCTGGCCCATCCATTCAGGCACACAGTCTCCGCTGCCTGATTGTTTGTCTGTAGGGGGAGGCCCCAAGTGAATTGTGTCTGTGGAGTCACATCGAGGCAAATGCTGCGTGCCTGACAGAGACGCCCAATAAACGATTTTACTGAATTGAGTATTTGGATAGCGTTTATTTTTCTCATTATAAAAAACAATTCACGTGTTCAATTTTGAATATTTAAAAAATAACAGTATAATATAAGTTTTTAAAATACACGTAATTCACCACTTGGAGACTCAACTTTATGTCGTTACTATAGTAAAACGTATGTGTATAAACACATAAAAATACACAAATTCTTAACTCACAACTAGAGTTCTGGTTCCTACTTCAGGCAACAGAGGCCTTCCTAGGAGACGCAGTAATGAAGCAGAACCTTTCTGCCACTACGGAGGAGTTTTTAAGGCATAAAGTGGTGCAGGGATATTAAATGGAATGGGTCAGCCCCGGGGTAAGGCATGCAAAAAAAGCAATTTATAAATCTGTCACTGAGCCCTTAGGATGCTTTATAGGAAGGCTGTTATCACTGCAGATGCAGTGCGCCGGGCATATAATAGCTAATTAGTAAACGTTGGCTAAATTGCATCCTCCTATTGTAGTTTTATGGCAGTTATTACAATTTGTACTTTCTTTTCAGGAGTCCCAGTGTTCCAGACCATGTCAGATAAATCATCCACATACAAAATTAGAAAATTGTATAAAATTTACTATACCACATCTCAGAAAAGCAAGCATATTTTAGTTTTCTTTCTGTAGAAAATTTAGACTAATGAAAAATTGGCAAAATATAGTAGAAAAAGCCTTCCACTGTTAAGAATAACCACTAATTTTTCTAACTTTAAAAAAAAATTTCTACTTTTGAAAGATAACTTTAAAATTCCAATACAATGAGTTTAAAGAATTAAAACTGGTATGTAAGTATATGAGGAAGAAGTGTAAATTCCCTTCACTCTCCAGTTCTTCTTTTCTGTACAGTTTTTTAAATTAAATCATAGCTGTGTACAGTAATGCAATTATGGGGTACAATGTGCTGGTTTTATGTACAATTTGAAATATTTTCATCCAACTGGTTAACATAGCCTTCACTGCATTTTCTTAATTACTGTGTTAATATATTTATATTCTACATTTAGTAGATTTAACATGTACCCTCAGTTCTTCTTTTCTTACAAGTTTGTAGATGTTTTATGTATTTGCATACAAATATGCATGCATGCTTATATTTTAATGTAAGTTCAATCATACTATGTATATTCTTTCATTTAATACATTTTGGAGATCTTTCTAGGTCACGGTAGATCTCTTGAACAGCTGCATAGCATTCCCTTTTAAGGACAAAGTATAATTCATTCAGTCATCTCTCTATTGATAGCTATTTAGGTTTCTAATTTCCTGCCATTTTGACAAGATACTTGGAAGAAATTCTAGCAGTGTCAAGGGATATGTGAACTTGTATTTTTTATGCAGTTGAGATTATAAAGTAGCTGTGATGTTGGGTCACCTAAGATTATACCATAAGTAATTTCTCATATTAAATATTTTTGTAAGTTTAAAAATTAAAAATTTTTAAAAATTAAATATGTGATATTCTACTTTTCTTAAATACATTTTAGAGAGTAGTATTTAAGAATGAATTTAATGATCCAGGCTCGGCGCCTATAGCTCAACCGGCTAAGGCGCCAGCCACGTACACCTAAGGTGGCGGGTTCGAATCCCCAGCCTGGACCCGCCAAACAACAATGACAGCTGCAACCAAAAAATAGCCGGGCGTTGTGGCGGGCGCCTGTGGTCCCAGCTACTTGGGAGGCTGAGGCAGGAGACTTGCTTGAGCCCAGGAGTTGGAGGTTGTTGTGAGCTGTAATGCCACGGCACTCTACCCAGGGGGACAGCTTGAGGCTCTGTCTCAAAAAAAAAAAAAAAAAAGAATGAATTTAATGATCCAAAATTCAAAAAAGATTATGGACCTGTTATATTAAATTTATATATCTTTTATAAATTATATGAATTATTTTATAATTTATTTTTATAAATTATTTTTACAAAATATATATAAATTTAATATAATAGCTCCATAATATTTTTTTTGAATTTTATATCATCTCCTTAAGGACACATAACCTGAAACGGATTTACTCTTAAAAGGTGTGATGCATATTACCAAATAACCTTGCCAGAAATAATGGATCAGTTTGAGAACCCTAAATACCGCTAACTTACTATTTAATTCAAGGTGAAAAATGGTATTAAGTTCTGGTTTTAATTTGCATTTCCAATGATAGATGAGGCTTGAACAGGTCTCAGACTAATCTATATCCTTGTAAACCTGTGTTCCCTCATGCTTAATTTGTTATCAAGTCCTGCAGATTTCCTTTTTTGATTTGTGTAGATTATACCTTCCCCCAATTTACTGCTGTTTTCTTAGGCAAATCCCTTAACATATCTTTAAGAGACAGGTTCTGACTAATCTCTGGAGTTTTTGACCCCCTTCTGGTTTGAGTGCCACACTCTTGCCAGGGTTATCTGTTAAAAGAGTTCAGATGAAGTCATTCCCCTCATTCTAGGCCTTCAGGATCTGATCTCTACTTTGCAGCTTTCTTTTTCACTTTGTCCCCTCGTATTTACATTCCATCATAATTTTAAAAATATTCTTATGCATCTCTATGTGGATTAGTCTACATTTAACCATTCTGCTTCCAACAGATAGAATTGACCAACTTGTCCTTTCTGTTGCCACTGTGCACAGAGTTCTTTTATAGCAGATATAATGTATATTTGCACTTGTATCTTTTTAGTAAAGATATACAGTGCCCCTGTAGAACGATAAGGCCTTTGTGAGCTTACTGATTTTTGTATGCCAGAGCCGAGTACTGGACCTGGCAACTAAAAAAAAGTTTGTAAAATGAATGCATGAATTCCCAATAATGTCTTTTTTCCTTTTATCTTTTAGACCAAAATAGTTTTTATTTATTGATTGGCATGAGGTATTTTTTTTTTTTTGAGACAGAGTCTCATTTTGTCACTCTCAGTAGAGTGCTGTGGCATCATAGCTCACAGAAACCTCAAACTCTTGGGCTTAAGCTATCCTCTTTGCCTTAGTGTCCAAAGTAGCTGGGACTACAGGTGCTGGCTATTTTTTGAGGCAGGGCCTTGCTCTTGCTCAGGCTGGTCTCAAAATTCCTGACCTCAAGAAATCCACTTGCCCCAGCTTGCCTTCCAGAGTGCTAGGATTACAGGCATGAGCCACTGCGCCTGGCTTTTTCTTTTTCTTTTTTTTTTCTTGTTTTGAGGCAGAATCTCACTCCATTGCCTTGGGTAGAGTGCCATGGCGACATAGCTCACAGCAGCCTCAAACTCTTGGGCTCAAAGGATCCTCTTGCCTCAGCTTCCCCAGTAGCTGGAACTACAGGTACCTACCACACCACCTGACTAGTTTTTCTGTTTTTAGTAGAGACGGAGTCTAACTTTTGCTCAGGCTGTTCTTGAACTCGTGAGCTCAGGCAATCCACCTGCCTCGGCCTGCCAGAGTGCTAGGATTATAGGTGTGAGTCACTGCACTTGGCCTGCATGAGGTCTTTATGTGATAAGGATATATATATTTTTTGAGACAGAGTCTTAATTTGTTACCCTTGGTAGAGTGCAGTGGCATCGTAGCTCACAGCAATCTTAAACTCCTGGGGTTAAGCGATTCTCTTGCCTCAGCCTCCCAAGTAGCTGGGACTATAGGAGCCCTCCACAATGACTGGCTGTTTTTAGAGACCAGGTCTCACTGTGTCTCAGGCTGGTCTTGAACCTGTGAGCTCAGGCAGTCTACCTCAGCCTCCCAAGTGCTGGGATTACAGGTGTGCCACTATAATAAGGATATCAATGGATTTTTTAATTGTTTCATCTTATAATCTAGTGGAATTTTTCATATTTATAGAATTAGATATAGCCATCCTTTATTTGTTAGCATCTTGCACTTACTTTCTTACTGTTAATTTTTTTGAGATAATATCGCTTTCTCTGTTGCTCCTTGAGTAGAGTGCAGTGACATGATAATAGTTCACTGTAACCTCAAACTCTTGGACTCAGGTGATCTTCCTGCTTCAGCCTCCAGTAGCTGGGATTATAGGCTGCCACATCTGGCTGATTTTTTAAATTTTTCAAATTTTTGGTAGAGATAGGATCTGTTCTTGCTCCTGAGCTCAAATGATCCTCCCATTTCGGCCTCCCAGTGTGCTAGGATTATAGGTGTGTGCCAGTACACCTCTCCTTCTTGCTGTTAATTTTTTAAGCTAAAAGGCTTAAATGATAACACTATAATGTTAATACATGGTCAGTGCAGAAAACTTAGAATATACAGAAATGTCCAAAGAAGAAAAATTTCCTGAAATAAAAAGCTGCCATCATCTTACTATCCAGAAATACCACCATTAATGGTACTCAACACATAATAGACGTGGAATAAATAATTGTTTAATAAATGAATAAGTTAAAATTTGGTGTAGCCTTTTTTTACAGATATAAAAGAGCTATCAGCATAACAGTCTTTTATTAATGGTTTTCTTTTTTGTTTTATTATGAATGTTTTTCCATAACAATAGTCCTCTAATTTATTTTTTCAGCCATCCCACAATCCCATTAAGCCAAGCTTGCCATCAAGAACCCAACATTCACCATGATGCTGAGCACAGAAGGCAGGGAGGGTTTCGTGGTGAAGGTCAGGGGCCTACCCTGGTCCTGCTCAGCTGATGAAGTGATGCGCTTCTTCTCTGATTGCAAGATCCAAAATGGCACATCAGGTATTCGTTTCATCTACACCAGAGAAGGAAGACCAAGTGGTGAAGCATTTGTTGAACTTGAATCCGAAGATGAAGTGAAATTGGCTTTGAAGAAGGACAGAGAAACCATGGGACACAGATATGTTGAAGTATTCAAGTCCAACAGTGTTGAAATGGATTGGGTGTTGAAGCATACAGGTCCGAATAGTCCTGATACTGCCAATGATGGCTTCGTCCGGCTTAGAGGACTCCCATTTGGCTGTAGCAAGGAAGAGATTGTTCAGTTCTTTTCAGGGTTGGAAATTGTGCCAAATGGGATGACACTGCCAGTGGACTTTCAGGGGCGAAGCACAGGGGAGGCTTTTGTGCAATTTGCTTCGCAGGAGATAGCTGAGAAGGCCTTAAAGAAACACAAGGAAAGAATAGGGCACAGGTACATTGAAATCTTTAAGAGTAGCCGAGCTGAAGTCCGAACCCACTATGATCCCCCTCGAAAGCTCATGGCTATGCAGCGGCCAGGTCCCTATGATAGGCCAGGGGCTGGCAGAGGGTATAATAGCATTGGTAGGGGAGCTGGGTTTGAAAGGATGAGGCGAGGTGCCTATGGTGGAGGGTATGGAGGCTATGATGACTATGGTGGTTATAATGATGGATATGGCTTTGGGTCTGATAGATTTGGAAGAGACCTCAATTACTGTTTTTCAGGAATGTCTGATCATAGATATGGAGATGGTGGGTCCAGTTTCCAAAGCACCACAGGGCACTGTGTACACATGAGGGGGTTACCTTACCGAGCCACTGAGAATGATATTTATAATTTCTTCTCACCTCTTAACCCCATGAGAGTACACATTGAAATTGGACCCGATGGCAGAGTTACTGGCGAGGCAGATGTTGAATTTGCTACTCATGAAGATGCTGTGGCAGCTATGGCAAAAGACAAAGCTAATATGCAACACAGATATGTGGAGCTCTTCTTAAATTCTACAGCAGGAACAAGTGGAGGGGCATATGATCACAGCTATGTAGAACTCTTTTTGAATTCTACAGCGGGGGCAAGTGGTGGTGCTTATGATAGTCAAATGATGGGAGGGATGGGCTTATCCAACCAGTCTAGTTATGGGGGTCCTGCTAGCCAGCAGCTGAGTGGTGGTTATGGAGGTGGTTATGGTGGTCAGAGCAGTATGAGTGGGTATGACCAAGTTCTGCAGGAAAACTCCAGTGACTATCAGTCAAACCTTGCTTAGGTTGATAAGGAGCACTAAACAGCTACTACAGAAATAAAAGCTGTGCATTTATGGGAGTTGAATAGAATGGGAGGGATGTCTAGTATATCCAGTATGATTGGTATAAACGGGAAATATAATTGATCACTCTTGGTCAACTAACTAACTTTCTCTTTCTTTCTTTCTCTCTCTTTCTTTCTTTGTCTTTCTCCTTTTTTAAGAAAACAAAAATTAAGTTTAACAGTTTTGCAGCTGATGCTCGCGATGCTTACTGTAAAGTGGAAGTCAAGATTGTTTTAAAACTTCAAGCTCAGTAATTTTGAACACTGAAACATTCATATAGGACATAATAACAAAGTTCAGTATTGACCATAACTGTTAAAACAATTTTCAGCTTTCCTCAAGTTAGTTATGTTGTAGGAGTGAGTGTACCTAAGCAGTAAGCGTATTTAGGTTAAAGCAGTTTCACTTATGTTAAATGTTGCTCTTATAACCACAATACATTGAAAACTTTGGATGCATGTTGAGAAACATGCTTTTCTGTAAAACTAAAATATAGGAGCTGTGTCTACGATTCAAAGTGAAAACATTTGGCATGTTTGTTAATTCTAGCTTTTTGGTTTAATATCCTGTAAGGCACGTGAGTGTACACTTTTACTTTTTTTTTT